TGTGTGTGTGTGTGTCTCTGTGTGTGTCTGTCTGTCTCACTATGCAGTTCAGCCTGGCTTTGAACTTAACTGTATATCCCAGGCTAGCCTCAAACTCGTAGTGATCCTCTTGTTGCAGCTTCCTGAGTGTTAGGATTATAGGAGTGTGCCACCATTGTTGGCTAACACCCATTCTTTTTTTTTTTTTTTTTGAAATGAACTCAGGACCTTGTGCTCTCCAGGCAGCCCTTGTGTTGCTGAGCTGTCTCTCCCCAGCCCTAAAACCTGTTTTTAGAGATAATGAATTTGAGACTTGTGAGATAAAGTGGACTGTGAAGGACTCACAGATATGCAGATTCCAGGCCTCCCACATGCAAAGCTTGTGTCCCTCTCGAGTGTGCACTTTGTACTTTTGTATTCTCTTTGCAAAATAATATAAGAAACTATTTTAAAACTGATAATATAATTGTTAAGAAATCCTGTCATCCTATAGAGAGAAACTGTGACTTTTCTAATAAATTTATATCAGCCTGAATCTTTGGCATTAGGTTTTGAAAAGCTGTTTTTTTCCTAATGACTTTTTCATTTAAAATGATACGATGTGGTCACATTTCAGAGTTACGTTTTGGAAATGACTAATTCTCATTGTTAGGGAGTATATGAGAGAGAAAAAGTTATTTTTGTTTTGTTTTGTTCTCCCTAAACTTACTATTGTGCCAGTCCTCAGAAATTAAAGAAAAAAAATAAAAAGACGCTTTGAGTAAGATACTATTGGAGAGTTACATTGACTTGGATTCTTTTTTTATCCAGGGTGAAATGGTTTACTGCCAGTTTATATATCCAGAGAGTGATCCTAGATGTTTACTTTGGAGGGAAAGAGAGTGATTAAAATCTATTTTTTTTTTTTTGCTCATAATTTATTATTTCAGCAGTATTCAATACATTGTGTATAACCTTTATTCAGTGTCTTTTTAAAAGGAATCTGTTGGGTGACAATATTTTGGGTCCTAAATTCTAGAACATTGGTTTTCTGGTTTGAATACCCATATTAATGCCATTTGTATTTGTGAATTTGATTACATGTGAATAACTGAACTTTTAACTATTAATTAGATGAGTCATACAGTAAATTTGGTGAGCCCAATAGCCTATACAGAAGATGGAATTAATTGTAGCTTAGCTCTAAAAAAATCTGTACTAAATCCTTCTAAGTCATGTGATTTGTCCCAGTGTTAACATGTTTGATTTATTGTCTTTTTCCTAGGTATATATTTTTCAGTGATTGGTTCCGTCCTGCTAAAATCATGAGAGCATGGGCAGATGGATCTCACCTTGAGCCTATAGTGAACAGGACGCTTGGGTGGCCCAATGGATTGGCCATTGATTGGGAGTAAGTGGGAGTCATCCCGTATTACTGAATTCCCAATAGAACACAGATGAGGCATTCTAGGAGGATGTGATGGTGTTGAGCCTGATACATTTTTAAATCAATTGGTTATGGGATAAGGATGTTGAGTGATATAAGGACACACAGAGCACAAACACAGCTGTTCACTACTAGTGAAGTGAAAAACCAGTGCATTCATACATATGCTTAGGAACTTGCTAGAAGCAGCTCAATGACAGGACTTAATTGAGGGTCAAGATGAGTTCCAAGTCCCATTAGAAGTTTGATAGGGATTTGATGAAATGCAGATTGTGTGTAACTTCTTACATGGGGCATCTTGAGAGTAGGAAAGTTTTGTAATCAACAAAATGTGCATATACTCTTATGTACTTTGGAAAAATTTTTGTTTATTTATGATTACTTTTTGATTTTTTTGAGACTGGGTCTCAATATACAGTTTAGGATAGAATGAACTACATAGCTCAGGCTGGCCTTGGATTTGCAGCAGTTCTCTTGCCTCAGATTGCAGGCATATCACCATATGCTCCTGAGAATTCTTTTTTGATACTGAGAGTCGAACTCAGGATCTTGTGTTTGCCAAACAGGTTCTGTGCCTCTAAGCTATATCCCCAACCTTCTACTGAAAATTTTCATAGTGTAAGGCATAGTTTTCAAGAATTGATGATCTACCTAGGACTGTAGCCAAGAAATAGGCTATATACATTTACCTTTTAAATAAAGATTAATCAGATTGCTACTAAGATTTTTCTTAGTTGGTTGATCTCACAATGAAAAAAATAAAATTCCTAGTTTAGTCAGGTTCTAAATTCCACACTGGCAGTTCCAGCTCTTTGAGAGACTGAGCCAGGAGGATTTCAAATCTGAGCAGTTTAGTAAGGCCCTGCCTCAGAATTAACAAAAATATTTCAAGGGGATAGGGATGTAGCTGGGTGGTCAGCCGCCCAGGAATTGAGCACTAGTATCCTACCCACTCCTCAGGAAACCTAGCACTTCAAGTTAGCTAAGATAATTGAAGCCATTTGATGAAAGTGGATTAAATTTTTTTTAAAATTTAATTTAATTTAATTTTATTGAGAAACAAATAGCAATGAGACAGTTTCAAACCAAATTGGTAGGACAGTTTCAATAATTAACACATTGTATGCATTCTTCCTAGTGGTTAATTGCTGTACAAGATGCGGACATGATATCCTGTTTACAAATACCATTAGAACAAATCCCTCTATTCATTAAGAGAATATAACTATTTATCTATCCCAACCATTTTGAATACACAGATACAAAATGGACATTCATCTGTATCCCCTTTTTTTGTTAAGTTCCGTTATTTGAATATTATAGGTGTGTAAACTTAGCAAAATATTCTAAAAGAGTCCAGTAGCCCATAATAGTATTGGGACTTCCGCTTCACTGGCAGTGTCAGAAATTGTTGACCTGGGTCCCTTATAGCTCAACATAACAGTATGGCTTTACTTCTTATACTTCGTTTTTATACTTTTCTGCTGGATGGTTAAGACCAAGGTAAAGCAGGACCTATGCAACAAGAGTTGTAGCTTTTGGGTCTGATAAGGTCAGTGAAATCCCCTCAGGGTTTATCCTGAGCTCCTGTGTCTTAGATTGTAGAACCTTTGTCAGTGTCAGCCATGTGGAGGAGTCACGGCCATTGCTTGGCCAATGTGCTCTCTGTGAAAGCCTGAGAGAATGTTTTCTCTCCATGTGACTCTCCTTAGGCACACTCTACATCATCAATTACTTTCCTCTTTGGCCACATAATCTCCTTGATCAGAAAATTTGGGACACTACTGAGTTACATGATGTTACAGTACAAGTTCTCATATGTCCTGAGTCTTAACTGACCTTGGAAGGCTAGGGCCAAAATGTTGGCTTTCCTTGCAGCCCTCCTTTTTCTCTAATTTTGGTCTGCAAACTTAGGTTGTTAACCCTCCAGAAGACAAGCTTATTATTACCATACAACCTAGGCTGTTAAGCTTAAACTCACTATCTGTCTGAATAAAAATTTTTAATAATTGAAATTTCAGTTTAAGGACTTTGTTAAATAGGCCCATTGATCATACCGATCTTGAATGCCTTAAATGTAAAAGGTGCTCTGCCAATTTGTGGATAGCAGGTAACAAGTATTTTATCATTTTAGGGCTTCACGACTGTACTGGGTAGATGCCCTTTTTGATAAAATTGAGCACAGCACTTTTGATGGTTTAGATAGAAGAAGACTGGGCCATATAGAGCAGATGACCCATCCATTTGGACTTGCTGTCTTTAAAGGTATGTTTTGAAGCAGTAACAGCATGCGGTGTTTTGTACCTCCTAACAGTAAGCTCCTCCTTGTTTGACATTCTCACGATTCCCAAAAAGCTTGTTACTTTACAATGATACTGTTCCATGTCAAAAAAACATTTTTGTTGTGTTGATGGGAAATTTTACTTTTAGAGTGGCTTGGTTTGGGTGATAATAATATAGACAACTTACTGTATATGGACATAGTACTTTGTAAATTCTGTTTATGATATAATATGAAGTATAGTGTGTACCTCATTATATAAATGTCACATGATAAATTACTACCTTCGTCATTTTTTGAGAATAAAATAGCAAGAGCTGTTTATAGTAACTATTGTAGAATGTTGTTCTCCAAGGTTTGCCAGAACCTCATCAAAAGTGTTGTAGGAAAACAATCACATATTTTCATAAACTGTGTGCTTTTGTAGTAAAACATGACAGATATCACCTTTGTTGTATTGATATATTGAGGTATGATTTATGAAAAACAGATACGATATTTTCTTAGCCTTTCCTGATTTTCATGCTACCAGTAAAGCCTGCTGGGAAGTTACGAGAGACTGGGCATCGGCAGCCACGGTGACTGCAGGCAGTGCTTTGGCCTGCCTTCTCTCACTCCCACTCCCCCTTCTTTAGGAGATGGGGGTCTGACCATGCAGTTCAGGGTGGCCTTGAACTCACGTAGCCCCTGCTGGCCTCAAACTCACAACAATCCTCCCGCCTCAACCTCCCAAATGCTGGGAGGACAGGCATGTGCAGAACACACCTGGCTGCTCTCAACTCTTCTGAGTGTAGGTGTGTTCTGTGAATTTAATTGCTGGGAATGAAAATATAACAGGCCCCAGTGAAACAGGAGGCTTGTTTAGCCCTGAAGACAGGGCTATGTGGATGGTTGTATCATTTGTGCACTGCACAAAAATGCTAGGCCAAGGGGCCAGCGAGACAGCTCAGCAGACTAAGTGCCTGCTTAAGCAAGCACAGGGACCAGGGTTCAGTCCCCAACACCACCTGCTGCATCAGCCCCACCCCTGGATATGATGTCTGGACGTGATGATGTACACCTGTAATCCCAGTGCTGGGGAGGCTGAATGTAGGATGACAACTACAATAGACTTCTTAGAGCTGTGTAGTGAGACCCTGTGTCAAATACATTAAAAAAAAAAAAAAAAAAAAAAAAAAAGGCTAAAAAACATCAACAAAAAAAAGCAGGCCAAGAGAGTGAGGAGAGATTGACAAACCAAAATTAGACTTGTGTGAGAGTTGATACCTTGTATGGAGCTTTAGAGACCCTCTGTATAGGCTAGCTATCTCTGGCTTGAAACATCTTACTTATTAATAATGAGATCATGCTTTTAAGAAAACTAAATTACAAACTCAAAACTTTCTCACATACATAGTGTAGGATGAATAGTTAACATATATACTGTATATTCCATCCTGTTATGTGTGATATTTAAAAATATTTAAGAAATGCTCTGAAATTTTGGTGGGACAGGTCAAGTATCAACAGTTACCCACCGTCCTGCACTACTCCCTTTTCTCTGGTGATGTCTGACTCCTCACTATTCAAGACATTGGAACAATGTAAGAATGTTATGTTTCCTCTGCTTTGTCATGGAATACTTTGGGATTAAAATTTTTAAAGTATAGTTTTAGTACCTTTTGGTTTCATCACTATGAAAAAAATTTGAGTGCATACTCATGAGAACTACACAGCATTCTCTGGATGATAGAAATTAGTTTCTTCCAACCTTGGCTTTTACTGAGGTTTCTTACAGGAAGTTCTTTTACTGTGTAATGCCAGGGAAATTAGGCATCTTATTTACTGAAAGACTAGATCTTCTTGCTTATGCATTGCATGGGACTGAAAGATTGATTGAACTCCTTGTTCATGTAGATAGATAATTAAAATGCCTTCTAGTCAGTGGAGCTAGGAAATCGAATAATAATAATAATTTTGGTTATAATAATAATATAATATTTATTATTTAATAATTATTATTACATAATAATTATAATTTATTATTATTATTATTATTATTATTATTATTTTGGTCTTTTAGAGACAGAGTCTCTATGCAGTTAAAGCTGACCTTGAAAACTCACCTTGTAGCCCAGGCTGGTCTCAAACTTGCAGTGATCCTCCTGCCTCAGCTCCCGAGTGCTAGGATTACAGGCATGTGCCATCATGCCCAGCCATAAGGTGCTAATAAATTATTGTTAAAGAGAAGACCCACCTTGATTCAGTTCTTTATTTGGGACACTGTTAGAACTGATACATTTACTTTTCTGTGTCAGTAGTTGTTACAAAGAGGATATGATTAAATTTTTGTTATTTCAAATCTTACATTGCCTCTTTTGCCATTCTGAGTGTCAAGGGACATTGTGTTGATATTGTTACTGATCACCAAGCATATAATGCAAGTTCCTTTTAGGGCTAGATCTGTGCTTTTCTTTCTTAACAATGTCTTAGGGAAACAGAATGAAAAAGAAGTATTATTGTAGACTATGGAATGTTTGACTTAGACGAGATCTTTTTGATTTTTATTTTCCTAGCACTCTCTATTAAACTTGAACTCGGGCCTTCTCACATGCTGGGCAAGCATTTGCCACTGAGCTATTGCCTTAGTTCTTTGCAGAAATCTTAGTTATAATTTCTTCCCACAGTTAAGTATTTGTGTAGGCACCTAACATTCCTTCCTGGGATAAGAGCTCAGTATTATGAGGCCTCAATGCTTTATTAAAGAAATTTTAAATTTTTTATTTTTCCTTATGAAAACTTTTCTTTTTGACTTATGAAAATTTAAACCTAAATGTTATTAAATGCTGTCTTCAAACTTCTTATTGCTTGCCTTAACCTAAACCATGATATCAATAATTTAATTTCCAAAGAGCATTTTTGGAGGGTAACTAGACCTGGAAAATGGCCACAGAAACCGATTATGGATATTTATGTGAGAAGATTCTTACATTTTCTAGCCTATGGCCTTGGCCCTGGTAATTTGTTTATGAGGATGCCTTGACTGGAAACACTCATTTTTAATTTCTTCTTAGATCATGTGTACTTTACTGACTGGAGACTGGGTGCTGTTGTTCAAGTCAGGAAACTGGACGGTGGAGACATGAGAGTCATTCGAAGTGGCATCAGCAGGGTGATGCATGTGAAAGCCTATGATGCGGACCTCCAGACTGGTGAGTGAGGCTGTCAGGCTTGTCATATGTAGGTATTTATTTGATATGGTGACTCGTCCTCACTTCAAGTACTTGTTTACCAGAGCTACTCATGATGTTGACATCCCTGTCACCCGAGTAGTTTCACATCATAAGACTTGAAATATCTGTTCAACTCTGCAAACTCTAAAACTGTTATCGGGAAAGACGTTTGAGCACTTCTTTGTGTTTTAAGTGAAAGGTTGTACTTGGCGGGCTTTCTAAGAAGATGCTTGCTACTTTTTAATGTTTAAAATAGTCTTAATTTAAACTTTCCTTTGCAAGTCAAACCCAGGATGAACCTAATCTGAGTGTGCCTGTTGCAGGGGCGAACCAGTGCAATCAGCCTACCCATCCCAATGGCGACTGTAGCCACTTCTGCTTCCCTGTGCCGAATTTCCAGCGGGTGTGTGCGTGTCCCTACGGCATGAGATTGACTTCCAACCACTTGACGTGTGAGGGGGACCCTGTCCACGAACCACCCACAGAACAGTGTGGCACCTTTTCCTTCCCCTGTAGCAATGGCAGATGTGTGCCCAGTTCCTCCCGCTGTGACGGGGTGGATGACTGCCATGATAACAGTGACGAGCATCAGTGTGGCACAGCTAGTAAGTAGCCACACGCTGGAGATGCTTCCTGAGCAGAGAGAGCAGGGAGGGGTGGCCTTCACACACAGGAGAAGCTCAGGCTGCATGTATGGGCAAGAGTGTCCTTTAGAATTTCAGATGCTTAGTGTGCACTTCAAAGGCATTTAGGGAACTCAGCATAAATATCATCCATAGGCAGTGTTAGGTAGGGTGATTTTTAGCATCGATTTAGATTACCTTTAAGAAAATTGCTTTTGAAATTCGCTGTTTGGACCAAGGTAGAGTTGTTACATCTTGATAAACTCTTCAAAAAGTCACATCAGGACTGGAGATGTGGCTCAGGGCTACAGCACTTGCCCAGCATGTGTGAAGCCCTGGCTGCCACCCTGGTGTGGTTAGAAAGACCTTGAAAATAAAAAAGTCATACCAAAATCAATTGCATATAGTTTTTAGTATGTGAGAGAACAGAGTAAGAGAATAGGAACCTGGGATTGCAGCCTTTGAAAAATCTCATGTGCTGTATTTGTTTTTCCCACCTTTTGAAGCAAAAATAAGTTAGGATGAAATGGCTGTCTTAACCCTTATATTCTGAAATCCTGGAGCCTAATAAATGGAGTCAAATTTAAAAAATAGAAGGTGGTTGAAATCTCAGTAATCTATCAAGGTTAGTAAATAATAAGGGTGACCTGTTGTTTTGGAGAGAGAATAGTGACAGATTTGGGAAGTAGAAGTGCTCACTTGTATGTTTTTTTTTTTTTTT